TGCGCCAGCAGCTCCTGGGACCGCTCTGCCTCCTGCATCGCCTCGTCTTGCAGGATGTACGAGGTTAGGTTGTCCTCGTTGAGCGTCGCCCTCGTGCTCGGCGCCATGGACAACCGCTTCAACAGGTTGTAGCTGCTCCGGAGTCCCTGCATGACATGGGTGATGTACGACGCCGTCGAATACTCCGCACCGGCCATTCTGATGGTGGCGAGAATTCGCCGGGCCCGGTTGCAGTAGTCGGTCGCCGTCTCCTCGTCGCCCATGCGCAGGTGTGTCAGCTGCCCTTCCAGCTGGGCGATGAATAAACGGGTCGTCGGTGACCTGGTAGGTCGACTCAATGAAGTGCCATGCATGGTGAGCAGCACTGTGAGATGACCGTGAAGGTCAACAGCTGCACAGCGCGGAACTCAGCTCGCAAGTCGGGGTCGCTCGGCGTCGCCACGGTACCTCGAGCGAAGCTGATCAGCCCGGCCATCTCCAGCTGGGGCTCGATGGCCTCCTTCCAGGTGAGTATGTCGGGTCGACCGACCAGCGGGGGAGTCACCGAGATCCTATCCGGCGTGAACTTAAAGTAGCCGTAGCTCGGCGCAATTCCGCCCGCCGTCACCTGGGACGCCGACATCGGCGTCAACCCGCTTCGTCGACCTCCGACGTCGCCCTGCGAGGTGCCCGCAGCCGACGTCGACCGCATCCCTCGCCCATGAACGCCGCCGACTTCGTCGGCGTGAATCACACCACGCTGCCTCGACGTGCCTCCCGCACTGCTGCCGACTTGGTCGCCTCCGGCGTTGACACCCACGTCGACGCCGCCCTCGGTGTTCACCGGTCGAGGAGAAGCAGGTCGAGAAGGGTGCTCCGTTGCCCACAAGGAACGGATGCCAACCTCGACGACCGCCCACGGCAGGTCGCCATACTCGTTGGCCTCGTGCTTCCTCCTCGCGCTTTCCAGCCGTGCCTCCAGGGTGTCCACCACCCCCGCGTCACCTACGGCTCCTACCATAGTGACTATCGCACAGCTGCCGGCCTACGAACAACTTAGGTAAGGTGCCTACTAAGTCGACTAGACTGAAAGGTAAGTCGGGTGCCGTCCACGCTCACCGCACCATGCGGAGATAACTCTAGTAACGGGAGCTAGACTACGGGCTAGGCACGGATGCTCGTGTGATCTCTGCGTTCGTTGGTCCTTAGTCGTTTTCCTAGTGCGCACACTACTTGCTAGTTCATAAGGCAATTTGGCAAGAGTTTCACTAGAGAAAGTTGACAACAATGATACAATGAAGTTGGCAAGGCAAGACTACATCAGAGCTAGCATGCAAGCAGGTCGACTGCCAGCACAGCACGGTCGACCGCGCGCCAGCACGACTTGGTCGACCGCGTTCCAGCAGTGCAGAGTCGCGGCTTGCCAACGCTGCAGGTCGACGACGTGACAACAGCGCAAGTCGACGGCGCGCCAGCGTTGCTCCTGCAGTCCAGCATCGCACCCGCTTCGCAGGTGCGCGTAGATGATTGGCGCGCACTGCTTCGTCACCTGCACAGCGCACACACCAAGTCCACCTCGTGCTGACGACTGCATCTGATGCACCACGTCGACCTCGGGATACCATCACCGAGGTCGTCCTCGCCAAAACCACCTGGGCGACCTTCGCAAGCCTTCGCAGCACCTCGTCACCCAGGTAACTTGGTCGACCAGGCAACCAGGTCGACCAGAGGCTCCAGTGCGTGCCCGTCGACCACCCAGGTCGACGACTGCTTCCGGTCGACCTCCCAAGTCGACGGCCACCTCCAGTCGACCTCCCCAGGTCGACCACTACCCCCTGGTCGACCAGCTTCAAGTCGACGTCACTCCTGGTCGACCAGAAGGCCTGGTCGACGTCCCTGGTCGACCAGAAGGGCTGGTCGACTTCCCAGGTCGACCAGAAGGTTTGGTCGACCTCTCAGGTCGACCACGAGGTCTGGTCGACTTCCCAGGTCGACCAGAAGGTCTGGTCGACGTCCCAGGTCGACCAGAAGGGCTGGTCGACTTCCCAGGTCGACCAGCCGAAGTTGGCACCTTCCTGAAGTCGGCGCCCATGCAGTGGCTCCCCGTGCAGGTCGACCAACCTCGTCGACCAACTCGCCCACTGCTGCAGGTCGGCTGCACCCTACACCCAACCACGAAGTCGGCTCCGCCCAAGCGAGGACGGGGCCAACATACAACTCCCGTTGACAAGGCTCAGGGTCAGGAACGTCATGAAGAGAGGACGCTGGAGGAGACGACAAGACAGGATGCTATGCAACAGAGGAAGGACGAAGTGTCATAGAGAGCTCATTAGGAATAGGAGGAGGGTGAACACAGCGAGCACGAGGAGTACGAGCAACAGGTGAGGCAAGGCGTCACTCATGCTCTCTACACTCAGTGAAGGAATCTGGTAGCTCAGTGTAACAAGAAGGAATAGGTAGTGGAGAATCAGGCTGTATCTGTGACCGAGACGGATCAATCGGTGAATACTGTAGAGGAGGAGTAACACTAGTGGAAGACGGAAGACCGAGAAGCACCGAGCCAGCTGGTGGTAGTGGCGACTGTGGATGGTCCAAGAAGAACGGTCGCCGTTGTCCTAGCTGCACAGCACCCCCAATTGTAGTACCTCCAGCACCAGCACCTTCAGCACCGGTACCTCCAACTCCGGAAACTCTAGCACTGCCATCTCCAGGACCTCCAGCACGAGTACCTCTGACGCCAGAACCTCCAATACCGCCCAGCACCAGCGTCAGCACCCCTAGGCTCAGCACCTTCAGTATTAGCACCCCCAGAGGCAGTACCCCCAGGCTCAGCACCGTGCCGGGTCACCCACTCACGGAGCTGCTGCGGCGAGAGTGTCGCCTACGGGCGCAACTGCTGGCGCTGTCCACCCCCAGCTCCAGTACCTCTTACTCCAGCACCTCCAGCACTGCCAACTCCAGCACCTCCGGAACCAGCCCCTTCAGTCCCAGCACCCCCAGAGCCCGCACTTTTAGCGTCACCACCGCCAACATCACTGGAGTCCACAGGGACAGGCTGCGAAGGCAGCGAAAGCAGCCGAGGCGGTAAACCAGGAGGGGTCTCCAAGCGCGGGGAGGGGCGACAGGCCGCAATGTCGTTAGCAGTAGGGTCGCCCCCCTCAATCGGGCTTGTGGAGTCTTAGGAGACCTCCAAAGGAGCAACCAAGGGGGGAGGTGAGATCTTAGACACACCTGAAGCAGCAGGACGCGAGGGGGGGGGGGGGCGGGGGTCTACCGGTGGGTAACCTGGAATTAGGAAGAGGGAAAGTGGGGGGACGGGAGAAAACGCGTGGGGGACGGGAAGAGACGATAGTAGCACATCAAAAGTGACGCCGTAGGAGGTCAAGACGCGGCGCCTGGCAAGGTGGCAAAACTGCCAAGGCGAGGCATTGGTGGGAAAGCCAAGGAAGACGCAGCGAATAGTGCGAGGAGACAGCTTGCCTGCTGTAGTATCGCAGACAAGGGCAAGCAAACCCTAGATCCGAAATGTTGACGCATCGCCAACCTCCCCCATCCAACCCAAGTGTAGGCGAGGTCTCTGGCTCGGAAACAAGGGCCCAGAGGTTGAGCTGACGCGCGACATATCGGACAGTAAGCGACCATAGAAATTGGAGAGCAGCTGCATGTCATGGAGGTGCGAGCAACCTCCATGATCAAGCCAATGCGGCGCTCAGCAATCCCATTCTGCTGTGGAGAGGCCGGAAGACCGGAGGCAAACTCGCGTCCGCGGTTAGAGTGCAGACGAAGCCTCGGGGGATTCTGACAGAACCGTGTGCTCAGCTGGCAGCGAACTCCGCGGATCCAAGGTATTAATACATCACGGACATCTCCCTTGTACTGCAAGGAACCACCGTGGAGTAGCACGTGTAGTTGTCGATGACAAGAAGGAAGTACCTCTCCCGTCCTAGCCCAGGGACAGGGGCAAGGCCCCACATGTCCATGTGCAGGGTCTGCAGAGGAGCTGTGGTCGGAGGGAACGAGGAGGAGTGAGGAGCGGCGCGCTGTCGCCCCTCGACGCAAGGAGTGCACGGGGTCGCAAGCGACCGAGGAAGCGGGGGCAGGGACCTTGGTGCATGCGATGCATATGCTGCAGGGAGGGGTGACCATGCTGTTATTGTCACAATAGGCTTCAATGTGCCTAGAACGAAAGATAGAGTGCACAGTCGGATTTCGGCACAGCGGCTTTAAACGTTCATAGCGATCTGGTCACAGCTCCAAACGACCTCATTCAACTTGGATCTGGAGCGTCTTAACGTGGCCTACAATAGGCAATTTAGATCGCACGATTTCATTAAGAATTGACGACACAGCGTCGGTTTGAACGAACGGCAGCAACATAGTCTTAGGAACACAATTACGAACAGCTAGGAAGAGTTACGAGTTGGGAAGGACTCCCAGCTCCTACAAACCCCAAGAGCCGAGGTACAGTGATGGGGAACAGTGCCACACTGTCCCCAACCAAGAAGGGTCTCGAAAATACCCTCCACAAGGGCCTACACCCATGGAAATGTTACACTACACATTGTAATGTAACAATCATCAATAGCTTGAGGTGTACCCTTTCGGCGAGCTTCGAAATCACTTGAAGCTTGCAACCAAGGCTCGGGTTCTTCACCATAAACTCATCCTTGAGTTCTTGATGGGTCTGCTGCGCACACCTTCGACACGCCAAACGTTCAACAAGCGACAAAATAGAAACCGCGCACGACAAAATAGAAACCGCGCGGGACACACAAAATGATCGCGTTACATGCGACTAGCGATAACTCGCTATTGACTCGACACACACACACACTCGACATCATGACCCATCATACACACACTATTATAAGCATGAAATATATATTTATTTCATGCACTCATACCACTCCATGCACACACGCATGCACACACACACGCACATGGACAGCAAGCCAAGTGTAAACCATAGGGTTGCACCAACAAACTCCCCCTCGGGTTGTTGGCCTTAGGATCTGTTGCTCTCAGTTCAGAGCCATCCCAGCCAGCTTGCAACACTTCCAATGCTGCTGCTCCACCAGCCTCTTGGTCATCATGTCCGCTGGCTGCCCCGTCGTCTTCACGTAACGCAATTCAACTTCACCCGCGGCCACCATGCTCCTTGTCCAATGCCACTTCACCCTCATGTGCTTTGTCAGGCCATGCAACACGGGGTTCTTGGCTAGAGCAATGGCTCCCTGGCTGTCACAATAGAGAGGGGTAGGTCCTTGCTGCTCCTCCCCCAATTCAGCCAACAAACGCCGCTGCCACACAATCTCCCGTACGGCACGGAAGAGTGCCATGTACTCGGATTCCACCGAGCTCAAAGCTTGGTCAATTTGCTTCTTGCTCTCCCAATTAGTTGGACCTCCACCAACACAGCAAATGAACCCTCCAACACTTGTCATGTCCTCTGGTTCCGATGCATAGGAAGCATCCGAGAATGCGGTGAGGAACAAACGCCCGGGTTCCACACCATCCGCGCCCTTTTGGCGCCTTTGTGCCGCCGCCGAGTATTGCAGCCCAACGGTCGGTGTTTGGCCAAGATACTTGGCCACCCTCATTCCAGCTGCTACCTGCTCCTCATTAGGGCATTGCACAACCCTTGCCAGCTGCCCGGTAGCAAACGCGACATCCGGTCGAGTGTTGACCGCCGCATACATGAGGCTGCCCACCAACGAGTGAAAACGGCGCCTCTCCTCTTCACCCACGCTCTCCTCCTCTGGTCCCTTCACACACTTGAACCCAGAGGGAAAGGGTGTAGCCACATGGCCTTCATTCTGCCCAAACTTGGCAGCCAAAGCCTCCAGGTACTTGTATTGGTGCACTCGCATGCACCGCTTCTCCACATCACGCTCGATGTGAAGCCCGAGGTAGAAGTTCACGTCCCCAAGGGAATTACACTTGAACTTGTCTTGCAGCTTCAGCATCACCTCCTTCACAAGGTCAGAGGAGGGTGAGAAGATCAGGATGTCGTCCACGTACACCACCATGAAGCTCCTCTGCTCCCCCTCGCCAAGCATCAACAAGTTGTGATCGGCCGTTGAGGGAGTGAAGCCGATCTCCTCCAACACTTCGCGCAGCTTCAGGTACCACTGCCTAGGGGCCTGCTTCAGCCCATAGAGGGCCTTCTTCAGCTTCCACACCCTGCCGCTGCCGTCGTCAAACCCCTCTGGCTGCGCCATAAAAATCTCCTCCTCGAGGATTCCGTTAAGGAAAGCCGTTACGATGTCTAGCTGCTTCACCACCCAACCTTTGATCGCGGCTCCCGCGAGTAGGGTTCGCAGCGTCGTCGGCTTCACCATAGGAGCAAACAGCTCCTTGTAGTCCACATTCTCCTTCTGCTGGTACCCCTTGGCCACCAGCCTAGACTTGTAGCGCTCGATCTTTCCGTCGGCGTCGGACTTGATCTTGAAGAGCCACTTGGACGTAATCGCCGTACGCCCCTCCGGTAGCTCCACCAACTCAAACGTGTCGTTCTCCTTTATGCTCTTCAGCTCACTCTCCATGGCCTTCTTCCACTCCTCAGCATCACTACTCTCCAAGGCTTCCTTGAGAGTTGCTGGTTCTCCCGGCATCTCCACCGGAGAGAAGAACGCGAAGGCACACTCCTCGTAGTCGCTCTCCTCGTCGTCTCCGACCATCATTGCCGCTCCAGCTAGGGCCGTCTTGCCCGGCTCTCCCGGCGCATCATATGTCAGCCTCTTAGGGGGTTGGACTTTCCTCTTGACCCTTCCTTCCTCCTCAGCTGCAGGGACTTGAAGGCCTTGGCGTTGCTGTGGTGTAGTTCGGTTCCGTGGAGCGCTCGTAGTGCGAGAGGGAAGTGTCGGTGCACGCTCACTCACTTGCTGCACCTCCTCCTCTTCTTCCTCTGCATCCTTGGCCTCCTCTCCCCCATTCACAAGGGAAGATTGCCTCGTGGTGGTGCTGCCGCTGCTCAGCTTTAAAGGCAGCTCCATGTGTTCCAACCCGGAACTCCTCACCTCTCCAAACCGCACGCCTATCTTCGCCTCATTCTCCGCCTTCCAATCCTTGTACATGAAGTTCTCCATGAACTTGCAGTCCCTGCTCACCATGAACTTCTTGGTGAATGGGTCCCAAAGAAGCCACCCCTTGCTGTTTTGAGCCATGCCCAAGTGCACGGCCCACACCGCCTTGGCACCAAGCTTGTTGTGCCGAAGATGCTTAGGTACGAGCGCCATGCACATGCACCCGAACACCCGAAGCATATCCACCTTTGGCTTCCTTCCAAGCCACTCCACATAGGGCACCCATTTATCTGCTCCCACATGAGTCAAAACTCTGTTCTTGGCCACACACGCGCTCCGCACCGCATCAGGCCAGAAATAGTCGGGTAGCCCGGCTTCAATGAGCAACCCGCGTGCCGCCTCCGTGATCGTTCAGTTCGCTCGCTCAGCGATGCTGTTCATTGCAGGGGAGTATGGCATGGTGAGGGAGTGCCGAATACCATTCTTCTTCAGCCACAACCCAAAATCCTTGCTCAGGAACTCTCCCCCTCGATCGGTGCGGATTGACTTCACTAGTCGATCTTGTTGCCGCTCCACCATCGGGAACCAATCGGTCTTCAACGTTTCAGCAACGTCGCTCTTCTTGGCCAGCACGTACACCCAGGTCATGCGGGTGTAAACATCTACAATGGTGAGGACGTAGTCTGCTCCAGCAGCTCCAAGCTTCAGGGGGCCCACCACGTCCATCACCACCTCATCAAGCGGTGCCTTTGCCGTTGCCTCCGAACTAGAGAACGGGAAGCGGATAAACTTGGCTTGCATGCACGTCGGGCAGCCAAGCACCTCATCAGGCTCCCCCTTCACACGTATGCCAGCAACCATCTGGTTCTTCACTAGCTGCTGCAAGATGGGCAGGGCCACATGCCCCATTCGCCGATGCAAGGTGAGCCAATCACACTCCCCCGTAGCCGAAGTCGGATTGGAGAATGCCGCGCTCGCAATAGCGCCCCACATACTCTCTCCGTACTCCTCCTTCGCTGCTGCCTCGGGGTTCTCCTCACCCTTGTGCTGCTTCTTGGCTGCTGCACCTCTCTCCTTATGGTCACACAGCTTGCTGGTCACTCCAGGTTTGCCCTTCTTGGGCTCATTCTCCTTAGCGCGACCGTTCGCGCCATCGCCGCTACCAACCGCTTCACCTTTGGTGCTGACGCTTGCTGCCACTTGCCTTTCCTTATGCATGGGGACCACAGGGATCTGCCACATCTCGTTGTAGACATCCCTATCTTCAATGTCCCAAAGAATTCGGTCACCAATCCTTGCGGTGTAGGTCTTGGCTCCCTTCGAGTTCGTGTCCATGCCGGCCTTTGCCAATCGCCGCACGGAAATCAGGTTGGCTGCAAGGCTGGGCACCCAAAGCACGTTCTTGAGGCCCACCATCTTCCCATCAGCACCCTTGAACATGGCCTTGCCCATGCCTTTCACCTCTGCTCGCTGCCCCAAAGCCGATGTGACATGCTTCACCGGTGACGGCTCGAGTTCGGTGAGCAAGTCGGGGCGAGGTGTCATGCTATAGGTAGCGCCACTATCGATCACCCAAAAGTCCAGGGGGTGTAGGGTCACCTTTCCCACAGCTGCTGGCTCCTCAAGGTCTTCATCCTTCTCTGGACCAGCTGGTACTTGCGTCGACACGAAGTAGAATAGGCCCGGATACCGATCGTCGCTCGGGTCCTTGTCGTTATCTCCACTCTTCATGTTCGCGGCTCCACCTCCGCGACCACCACGGCCTCCACGGCCTCTTCCTCTCCCTCCTCCTGCTCCTCTACCCTCTTGGTCTTGAGCAGGGGTCCATCCTTCAGGGAGCTTGTAGCAATCGCGCCACATGTGTCCGGTCTTGTGGCAATAATGGCACTCGCCTTCAAATCGGCCGCGACCGCGCCCGTAGCTCTTGTCGTCGCTGCCGTATCCGCCATTCCCGGTGTCCGCGACCTCCGCCGAAGTTGCTGCCACCAAATCTTCCTCCCCCTCGTCCTCTGCCTCTTCCTCGGCCATATCCACGGCCGACGCTCGCTGCCCCAGCGCCATCCGCACTCGCCAACTCACGGCGGCGGAAGTCCTCTTGTAGGATTGCGCGCTTCACGTCTTCAAGCGAGAGACGGGGCAGATCACGGTTCAAGTTGATGATGAGCGAGGACCACGACTCGGGGAGTAGGGCCAGCAACTTGGTCTTCTTCTGGAGCTCACTGTAGTTCAAATCAGCTCCCTCAAGCCGCGTCAACAAGTCGAAGAATTTCTGCACCCCGTCTTCCACGGGTTCATCTTCCTCAATTCGTAGCGTCGCCATTTGCCGTTCCAACACCACAGCTACCGCCGCTGTTGCAGGAGCGTGTACACCCTTGAGAGCAGCCCATGCCTTTGGTCCCTTCTCTGGTTCACGCTGGAAAGGCTTGATGTGACGGATCTGGTTGCTCCCCAACGCTTGCCCAAGTAGGAGATAGCCTTGTGCGCTCTTCCGCACCCACGAGCTCTTCTCCGGGTCGTTCTCGGGACGCTTATCCGTTCCTTCCATCACCTCCAGCAGGTCATAATGGTCGAACACATTCTCCATTCTGAAGGACCACTCAGCAAAGTTGTCGCCGTTGAACTTGTCGAGCCCGAACACTCTTGGTTCGTCCTTAGAAGGTCCAAGAGTCGGTTGCACGGACGCCATGGCTGAATCACGGGCTTGGCCTTGTGCTTGGGCTTCTCCATTGCCTCCAGCACCTCTGCCACCCCTCTCTTCAGGTCCAGCCATCGTCGTAGCTGCTCCAAGGCGCTCTGATACCACTTGTTATTGTCACAATAGGCTTCAATGTGCCTAGATAGAACAAAAGATAGAGTGCACAGTCGGATTTCAGCACAGTGGCTTTAAACGTTCATAGCGATCTGGTCACAGCTCCAAACGACCTCATTCAACTTGGATCTGGAGCGACTTAACGTAGCCTACAATAGGCAATTTAGATCGCACGATTTCATTCAGAATTTACGACACAGCGTTGGTTTGAAGGAACGGCACTATGGCAGCAACATAGTCTTAGGAACACAATTACGAACAGCTAGGAAGAGTTACGAGTTGGGAAGGACTCCCAGCTCCTACAAACCCCAAGAGCCGAGGTATAGTGATGGGGAACAGTGCCACACTGTCCCCAACCAAGAAGGGTCTCGAAACTACCCTCCACAAGGGCCTACACCCATGGAAATGTTACACTACACATTGTAATGTAACAATCTTCAATATCTTGAGGTGTACCCTTTCGGCGAGCTTCGAAATCACTTGAAGCTTGCAACTAATGCTCGGGTTCTTCACCATAAACTCATCCTTGAGTTCTTGATGGGTCTGCTGCGCACACCTGCGACACGCCGAACGTTCGACAAGCGACAAAATAGAAACCGCGCACGACAAAATAGAAACCGCGCGGGACACACAAAATGATCGCGTTACACGTGACTAGCGATAACCCACACACTCGACATCATGACCCATCATACACACACTATTATAAGCATGAAATATATATTTATTTTATGCACTCATACCACTCCATGCACACACGCATGCACACACACACGCACACGGACAACAAGCCGAGTGCAAACTGTAGGGTTGCACCAACACATGCCAGAGGAGGGAGTAACTTACATGAGCAAGACGTAGCTACTTGACCGGACACTGCCAACTGTGCTGACTCAACGACCCAGGTCTCTGAGTGAACGTGATGAGGTGGTCGCCAATCACTGAGTATGTACAGGTCGCCACTAGCTCCCCCCAGGAGTGGTGGTAGTGTCCAAATTATCCTGGAGTACAGAGCGTTAATGTGGAAACTTAATAATAAATGAGCTCAACAAAGGCATACACGAGTTGATATAGCAAACCCTAACCAACCCTAAACACAAGTGTACACCACCTAGACTAGCAAGCACAAACTATAACAATCATAGTTTGACACACCTCCATGGTCTAGGTGATGGTAGTCCTATGGAAAACAACACACACTCTAAGAGCAAGGGTCACAGGAACAGTCTGCAAGCACAAGCAACGGTCACAAGACCAGTCCACAAGAATAAAACAAATTTCGGGGTGGGTCTCAAGATCACCACGCAGTCTGAGCACAAACAAGAGGCCACAAGGCCAGTTCACATGCAATGACATAGCGAATCTAGAAGATGCAAGATTTTAAGACATGCATGACAAGCGTCTCTACAAAAGCAAGGGGTCACAAGGCCTGTCCACAAGCAGAGAGATATGATATATAATGAGATGCAAGAATATAGGTCAAAGCGTTTCTACGCAAGCGAGGGCTGGTAGACAGAAAGCCTAACTAGGTGCAGAAACGCTGGTGGTCACAAGGCGGCAACGCCTTGGTGAAGATATCTGCAGTGTTGGCCTCAGAGTCCGCACGTCGTATGAGTGCCTGGCCACGCTGCTGCAACTCTCGAGCCAGAAAGTAACGAAGCTGGATGTGCTTCGCCTTCCCAACCAGTCGGGGCTCCTCGCACAACAGGACATCAGAATTGTTGTCGGCAAACAAGACTAGGGGAGAGCGAGGCCGCTCACCAAGGTTGGTGTGGAGGAAAGACAGCCAGCGAAGCACCTGTGCGGCCATGGCCGCAAGTACACCTCTACCTCACAGCTGGAACTGGAGCCGGACGACTCCTGCTTCGACCTCCACGAAACAACTCCGGTCCCAAGGCTGAGGCAATAACCCTGTGTACACTGCAGCGTCTCAGCGTCGTCGGCCGACGACGAGTCCGAGAATCCTGTAAGTGTAACTGGCTACTTCCCTCCTAGGACAAGTCTTATGCCTGATGTACTCGCCACATACTTCGCCACCCTCTTAGCAGCCAACCAGTGAGAAGGTGGGTGTCTCCTAGTCGCAACAAAGCGCGCCACGACGCTAAGAGGGTAAGCTAGGTTTGGGCGAGTACAGGTTATCAAGTACATGAGACAACATACAAACTCAGGATATTAAACGCTAGACTTAAATGGCTCGTCCGAAGGTGGAGCCGTGAGCCCATGATCCACAGCAAGAGGGGTGAGCTGTACCTTGGAGAACGGGAAGCGAAACCGTGTAAGGACCTGCCCGACCATAATCAACTACGTCTGTGTAATGGTGCGAGCTACCCTGACCCTGGTAATGTGCAGGCCAAGGTAGCGCTACAGCTCACCAAGGTCAGTGCAAGTGTGTCTCTTCTATGTGCAGTTCCTCCTTCACGGAGGCCAGTGCTTCTGTCAGGAGTGGCAAAGACCAAGTCATCAACGTAAACCAGAACAAAGAATGGGGTCAAGCCACGGCGGACGAAGAGCGACGGGTCAGTAGATGACTGAAAGAAGTCAAGCGTTGCAAGAGTCGTGCGAAGTGTGTCGTGCCACTCACGTGGAGCCTGGCACAGGCCGTAGACCGGTCGACGCAGCTGCCATTGGGTCCCAGGAGGGAAAGAGCCAGTGAAGCCAGGCGGGCGAGGCAGCCAGATCTGCTCGTGCAGGCTCCCCTGAAGGAACGCCGTGGAGAACTCCAAGGAGTGTAACTCGTAGTCGCGCTGAGCTACGATATGGAGCAACACCCGAACAGTGGTGATCTTCGGGGTGGGAGCGAAGGTCTGAAAAAAGTCTACTCCCTCGCGGTGACTGAAGCCTCTCGCCACGTAGCGTGCCTTGAGCACAGGTGGTGATCCACGCGGCCGCTTCACCTTGTGGATCCACATGCCACTGACGACCTTCGTCCTAGGTGGTAGGACGATATCGACGTAGGTGCCTGAGGACCTATAAGATGCCATCTCTGCCTCCTCAGCTGCTATCCAATATGAAGCTAAGGGTCTCGAGACCGCCTCGGCGTGAGTGTGAGGGATCGGGATGTCAAGGGCATCTGGATACCCCTCAGGGGCAGGCAACATGGTGTAGAGATAGGGAATGGCTGCCAAGAAACCGAGCTCGAACTACCGATTCTTGAGGACCTCAAGGAGAAAGACAGGAACACCCCCAGAGGATGGAAAACAAGTACTGCCACTTGTTAGAGACTAAGGACGGAGTCTAGAACATTTAGGGGCCGAAATATCTCAAAATCGTTGGACTTAAATTCTGGACAGAATCGTCAACTTCACAAGAAACGCCGTCGACGAAAAATGCACCGTTAGAATTCCACCAAACTCGATTATGTTCTAGCCTTTGACCAAGGCTATTTTTCCCAATTTTAATTGTATCAACAAATGGAGTATATCTCGAGTTGTCAACTTTGGCGCACTAGGGGGTATGCTGCCATAGAAACTTAACTCAATCACAGTTGTCTCACAAGTTCCACACGAGAGAGTTGGAGTAGCAATTAACCAGGTGGAAGAGGAGAGGAGGACGAGAGGGAAGGTCTCAAAAGAGTCCTCAACCAAGGAAACCCAATAAGCACATCAAATCCCCTCAACATAGCAACCCCACTTTTACTTTTGTCACTTTCCTAACCCATGCCATCCACGTCACCCAACTTGTCCACACTTGCCAACCTAGTTTGGTTTCTCCCAACCACTTGGCAGCATCTACAGTAGAAATGACGAATTTCTCAATCCCCAGAAGTTTATACCCCATATTGAGTCACTCACAACTTTCCAAAGTTGTTGCATCCCGATCAAACGTCGAACAATCATAACTTCGTCGTTCTTGCTCCGATCGAGATGATTCCTGGTTCGTCAAAAAGCTCTCGAGCAGAGAAGTTACTTCAGATATTTGCTCA